AATCAGTCATCATACCAGGAAGAGCTCAAAACTGAGTGGAAAATATCAGTGGATGACCACACTAAGATGACAGAGATGTTAGAATTACATAGATTTTAACAGTGGTCATCATAACAAGGCTTCAGAGCACAATACAAATACTCTAGGAACAAAGGGAAACAGAAAACCTCAGCAAAGAAACAGACACTGTAAAGAAAAAAAATAAAATTTCTAAATGGAAATTTTAGAACTAAAAACCATAGTAACTAAAATGAAAAGCTCAATGGATAGGCTCAAGAAAGTGAGAGCAAAGAATCAGTGAACTAGGGGCTGGGGTTGTGGCTCAGCGGTACAGTGCTTGCCTCGCATGTGTGAGGCCCTAGGTTCAAACCTCAGCACCACATTAAAAAAAAAAAAATAAAAAAGTGAAATAAAGGTGTTGTGTCCAACCACAACTAAAAAAAAAAAAAAAAAAGAATCAGTGAATTGTAAAATAGAACAATAGAAATTTGGGGCTGGGGATATAGCTCAGACAGTAGAGTACTTGCTTCGCATGCACACACAAGACCCTGGGTTCAATCCCCAGCACCACCAAAAAAAACAAAACAAAGCAAAACAAAACAAAAAACCCAGAAATTTCTCAAATTGGAAAAGAGAAAGAAAGGAAAAAGAACTGAATCTCAAGTATTATAACAGAAGCTCTATATTGTGCTATTGGAGTTCTAAGATGAAAGTGGAAAGGCAGGGGTCATGGGGATAAAAATGCTATGAATAAAATAATAGTTGAAAACTTTTCAAATTGGGCAAGAGAATGAACCTACAGATTCAAGAAGCTGAGCTGAGTGAACCACACATGGGATAAATACAAAGAAGTCCAAAGTACACAATCAAATTTCTGAAAAGTAATCCAAGAAAAAAAAATCATGAAAACTGCCAGAGAAAAGCAATACTTTATCTATCTTTAGAGGAAAAATAATTAGAACAATAGATTCTCTTCCAAAGACAAAATGAAGTGGCTTGATATTTTTCAAGTGCTGAAACAGAGAGGAAAGAAAGAAAAAAAAGAAAAAAGAAGAAAGAAACCTTAACCTAGAATCCTATAGCCAGTGGAAATACTTTTCAGGAAGGGAGAGAAAACGAACCCATTCTTGGATGAAGGAAAACAAAATTTGTCAACAGTAGACCTAACTTAAAACAATGATTAAAGGACATTCTATAAAAATGAAAGAAAAGGAGAAAAGAAAAACCATCACCACAACAAAGACCCCTAGAACATCAGGAAGAGAGAATACAGTAAGCAAAAATATTAATAAAAGCAATAGACTTTTCTTGTTCCTAAAGTATGTCGAATGGTTGAAACAAACATATAATGCCATTTGATGTGAATTGGAAACAGAACCATGTTGCCATTCAGGGTAGTTTTCTATCTTAAGTAATAGGTCATGAGTATTTCACCCCAATTGCAATAGACTTTTATTTCTAAGGTGAATAGATTTATTTCCCCCAGTATCTTTGGCTTCTAGTTTTGGAAATGGAAAATTTTACTAAGGAAAATATTCTTTTTTTTCCTTCCTTCTTTCCTTCCTTCTAATGGGGACAGAACCAAGGAGTACACTACCATTGAACTACATCCCTAGTCCATTATTTATTGTTTCTTTTCAAGACAAGTTTTCCCTAAGTTGTTGATGCTGGCCCTGAACTTGCAACCCTTTAGTCTTAGCCTCCCTAGTAACTGGGATTATAGTCATACACTACTATGACCCATGACAAAAGCTTCTTTACTGATGAAACAACATACAGTAGTTAATACTAGCACAGTACTACTTATAAATATGCACTTAATAGGAAAAAAAAACCCACTTTTGGGACAGGTTTCACTATGTAGTGTTGCCCAGGCTGACTTCCAACTGGTGATCCTATCTTTTGTCTCCCTAGTAGACATGCACCACTGTGCCTGGCTAATCGTTTTTATTATGCTGAATTTTGCTAGTAGAAATAATTGTTAGTTGATGAGACTATATTATATAATGCACGTGTTAACAGCTAGTCATTCCTCAATGTATATGTACTTCAAAATATTATATAGCAACTGGTAAATATATACAATTCTTTGTGTGAATGTAAAAAAAAAGTACTGAGGCTTTAAATTGGGTTTACAAATCATAGCTGGAAAAAGTAGGATGAACTAGACAAACTATTTAAAAATATGCAACTTGAGTTGGGGGTGTAGCTGAGTGGTACAGCACTTGCCTAGCATGCACAAGGTCCCCTGGGTTCCATCCCCAGCACCTGCAGAGCAGGAGAAGCAAAATGATTTAGATCACAGAAGATTTGGAGGAAGCTTACCATACTGGCTAATGTTTTTGACTTTACGACTTGCATTTAGATTTGACAAGAAACACATAGCATGAAAGTGTGAAGGAAACTGAAAGGAATGCAATAAGCTATTTCTTCTCTCCATGGACTCCAGTCACACCCAAGCATGACCACAAATATGCAGAAGCCAAACCTGGCTATGCCTCTGTGCTGCCATGAGCAGAAGCTTCCTTTCCTATGGAATCTGGCAGAAATGCTGCAGGTCTGTCTCTGTAATTTATTATCTGGCTATGAGCCCAAGTAGTTCACTTTAATCGAAAGAGAAGATAAAGAGGATGAAAATCTTTTTTTTTTTTTTATACTGGGGATCGAATCCAGGGGCACTTAACCACTGATCATATTCTATGTTCCCCATCCCTGCACTTTTTTTTTTTTTTTTTTTTTGAGACAGGGTCTTATTAAGTTGCTTAGGGCCTCATTAAGTTGTTGAGGCTGGCCTTGAGCTTGTGATCCTCCTGTTGCACCCCCTGAGTCCCTGGGATTGCAGGCAGCGTGCCACCAAGCATGGCAGGGAATAGAAATCTTTTGGGATTCTCCAAAGTAAGCATTGAACATCAACACTCAAATCATAAAATTAGGATTATTACTTTTAGGGATATTTAGATGGATGTTAAGCATATAGAAAGACGCTCATGTTTTTTTCCAAATAAGAGAAACATCAAGTAAAATTACACCAAGATAATTTTTTTTTTTAAAAGTCAATGGGTAAAGATCAAAAAGGTTGATACTACATTGTGTGGTTGGTAAACTGTAGGCAAATGATCCCAAGTATTTAATTCTATTGGGAGTATACATTGGCACAATACCTATTGTCAGGTCTGAGATTTTATTTTTACTCTTAATTCTTCCATAGATGCTGGGATAAGATAAGAGACTCCTGGATCAGAGACAAAGCACTTTCTCATAGCACAGCAGGTAGCATGAACATTCACATGTTTGTCAGTTCCTCTTGTCCTCAAATGGACAAGACCCACTGTGTTAGACCCAGATGGATCCAAACTTCTTTGTCCTGACGAACACCTTCTTCTTTTAAGCTGCTCACTGCAAACTAAACCATGATAAATGGCCCAGGTAGAAGACCAGGTCCTGCTTTCTTGGCTTATGCAATTAGGTGTGCAGAAGGCTATAGAGTATTTTCTTTCTCCCAATATCAGTGTGGGACAGTTTGGCAATAAAAATTGCAAATAAACCTAATTTTTGACCTAACACTTCCACTTCTAGGTGGACACATAAGTTTATTTTATTTTTATGTGGTGCTAAGGATCGAACCCAGTACCTCACGCATGTTAGGTGAGTACTCTTCCTCTGAGCCACAACCCCAGCCCTTACAATTCCACATCTAGGAGTCTGTCCTATATATTTACTTTCCCATATATAAAATGACAATAAGGGCTGTGATTGTGGCTCATTGGTAGAGTGCTTGCCTAGCATGCATGAGGTACATAGGGTTTGATCACGTAAAATAAAAACTCAACAAACAAAATAAAGGTATTGTGTCCATCTACAACTAAAAATATTAAAAAAAATAAAATGACAATAAGAGGTTATTTATTCTAACACTGCAATAGATCAGAAGTGACTGAATGCTTACCAATATGAGACTGCTTTGATTATAACAGCATCTCAATGGAATACTATGCAGGAATAATAAAAAATGAAGAGGGCTGGGATGTAGCTCCGTGGGACTGTTTGCCCTGAGTCTGATCAGTAACACTGCAAAAAAAGTTTCCATGCTGAAATAGTTGCCAAGACACATTGTACATTGTCAAGTGAAAAAGGTTGCAAAAAAAAAAAAAAAAGTATAACAGTTTCATATTTCTGTAGGTAGCAATAAAGAACACATACACTTTTTCTTATACTGTGTACTATATAAGATTTCATTTCTCTCAGAATGCACAACAAACTACTATCATTTGTTGTCTGTAAGAAGATGAATGACAGCAAATTTTTCTGTACATTCATTTAGATATTTTTGATACTGGGGATTGAATGCAGGGGTGCTTTACCATTTAGCTATTCCCAGTCCCTTTTATTTTTTTTGAGGCAGGGTCTTGCTAAGTTGCTGTGGCTGGCTTCAAATTTGCAATCCTCCTTATTCAGCCTCCGAGTTGCTGGGATTACAAGTGAGGGCGTATATCTTGATTTTTAAACCATGACTATACCCATTTGAAAGGCTAGCACAAACAAATCAATCTTTTCCAAATTTTTTCATACTATAGATAATTTTAAATGAAAAGGTAGGTGCTACACTCATCCTTAGTTTAATTGTATCATGATGCAGAGGAATTAGCTCCTATTCATGATTTATTTTATCATCTACAAAAATATATATTTGATATTCCACTTATGCCACTCAAAACCCTAAAAAGAGGTACATTTTACCCCCATTTTATAGAACAGAACGTGGTCACAGATCCAGGATCATAGATCCTGGTTTGGTCTTTGTGTCTGACTGAAAATCCATTTTTTTCCATATTCCAGGCCCTTTCTGAGACAGAGCCTTATTCTCTCATGACAGTGACTCTATCAGTAGTTTTTAAACCTGGCTGTATGGGAATCACAAGTGTGTGTGTATGTTTTGTGGGGAGTTATAAAACGCTGATAAAGACAAGATCTTACAAATTCCAATAAAATTTGACACCAACTAAGGCATTTGGACTCAAAATTTTAATAATAAATTGTGCCAGTAGAAGCTTTTCAAAGGCAAATGATATATCAATAAATAATAGTTAAATTGAGTTCCTGAGAAAGAACCTACCACATGAAAGTATGTCAGAGCGCTGTAAATAACAACATGGCATTACTATAAAATAGAGAAAATACTGTAAGTCATGATACAAGCACAGCAGACTTCAGAATATGCCATTCATACAAATGTAAACCAGTACACAGGAATCATTTTTTTTTAGACATTGATAAACTTATATAAGTGTTGTTGCTAGATATATACTAAATAATGGATACATTACACTAAGAACTTCAAGGAAAAAATATGTGGAATAATATAATGAAAAATATGATGCATCAGTTCTTTTAAAAAGCAAAAAAGAATTGAACTTTTTACTCAAATATAAATCACTTTAAATAGGAACCATACTAATTTGAAATAAGGAATATTTTGTGTTTATCTATATAGTTATATATACACCTATACATCTAAGAAAATATGTATGGCTTAATTGTTTTTTTATTCCAATGTTACTTTGAAGAATTTTTGTTTTTTTACAAAAGAATACATTTAGAAAAATGTTTAAATGATTTAAACAATACATTTGTGTAAATAAACTGTTTAAACCAAGCTTTGATACTTCAAAGCACACTAAAAAAAATGTGGAAAGAACCATAAGATTGTTCAATTTCATCTCAGCTGTCTAAAAACAGGAGGACTAATGTTCATTTAAGCTTTCAGTGTGGGCTGTTGGTGAAAAAGTTAAGTTGTAGGGTAGCTACTGGATTCCACATGCCAGCTATACCAAGAATGAAAAGAGCAAGAAATAGACACAGATCTATGATTAACTTAAAATGTTTTGGTATAGCTGAATTAATCCCTTTTGATGTATATAAGTTTAGTACATGACAAATGTTTATGTTTACTCCCCAAAGAATCCAATCATACCCAAGACAACACACAAACAAAAATCACTTCTCAGTTACACATCTGCATTTCTTTAACAAAACAATAAGGGATACAATCATAAGGAAGAATTCACCCACACAATACATTATCAGCACATTGTCTAAAATACCTCATTTAAAAACACTCAGTAAAAACATATTCACAGGACCTGCTGTGAATGGCAAGATACGGTAATTTTATAATAGAAAAACCCTGCTCATGCAGTACTTTCCACACGCCAGACACCTGAAATCACACCCATATCACTTTGCTCACACTTTCTATTATACTATAATATGCAAAAAGCAAAAAAAAATTATAATAAAAGCAGCTTTTAACATTATATCACAATTTTGAAATGTGGGAAAAAATACAAAACAAAAACCATTGTGTGGATAAAACAGTCTCCGTGACATCTGAGCAGAGCTTTATCTTTTTTTTTTTCAAACATTATTGCACAGAGATTTCTTATCACATGTTCTTCAGTTTTTTATGTCTTTTCCTAAATGTGAATAAGTGCTATGGATAAAATACAAATGTAGAAAATAACAGCAGCATGATTTGTCGAAGTTAATCCCTATAATTTAGTAAGAAAAATTGGATATCAACAAAATAAGTGCTCTTTCTAAACTGTACTAAACTGTTAAAAATCTTATTTTAATGCAGTGAAGGCCCTCAAAGCCAATCCCAAGACCTGTTGAACCTTCCTGACACCCATCAAACAGAATCTAGAAAAGAAGATCTGCTAGACTTAGTCTCTCTCTCTCTTTTTTTTTTTTTCTTCAGTTTCTTGTTGGTTTGGGGTTTTCTTGGTGAAGACCAGAATTTCAAGTGATTAATCAACAGACTTATTGCAAAGTCACGCTGCACTTCCCATCTGCCTGTTCAGGAACCTGCTATGGCTCCCGGGCTCTGAAGACACGAGCTGTGGGCACCTGGTCACAGCCTACACATACACTGGCTGGCAGCTTTCGCTCTGGTCCACCAGATCAGAAGTTTCTAAATCTGCATTCTCAGACTTCGAAGCTTCTGTTCCTGAAGGCTTTGGGCATCTAAAAGGGTAGCCATTGTCATCAAAGAACCTCCGGAAGGTGAATTCGTAAAATGCATGCTCAGGGTGCTTGTTATTGGGGGAGGTGAGAGTGTCCCAGGTCTTGGTGCTGCCTTCACTATTCTCATTCCAAGGGCTTTCTTCATCTACGGGATCAAAATTTGAGGTGTCCATGGGGTGGCTGATGGTGGGAACGTAGGGGGCGGGCTGCTTCCGGATGTCATTGGAGAAGTCGATTGAGCTGAAGAAAGGGTGGGCCTTCAGGTCATCTGCCCCATCCCGCCCCAGGCGGCAGTCAGCAGAGCAGCAGAGTTTGGTGATGAGGTCCCTTGCCTCGGGGCTCAGCTTGACCTGGGATGGAATGTGCAGCGTGTTCTCCCAATTTATCACCTAAAGAGACAATAGCACCAAAGTTTTAGTTTCCCCTTTTGACTCAAGGCCCAGCTAGGGCAGTTCCCCTGACAGTACTCGATGATGTGGCTGTTAAACCATTCCAGTTTCATAAGGCGAGGCAGTTAAAACAGACAACAGAGGATGCAGTGTTCATCTGGGCAGCTGGAAGGCAGTGTGGTTTGGGAGGTGGCTCACAGGCCAAGGCTTGGGATGAAGTGAATATAGACAGAAAGATACTTGTTTTCTTTTATCAGAAATACTGTGTAGCCAAAGAATTTTGTGCTTTCCATAAAGATGAAGCAACTGATGTATGAGTTGCTTCTACAGCTACACAAATGGATTTCTGCTGGGCTATCACAGAAATCACTAAAACTCACTATCACTGAGAGATGGTTGGTTGGTTGATTGATTTTTCTGGTATTGGAGATAGAACTCAGGGCCTTGAGCACTTTAGGCAAGTCCACTGAGCTACATCCCCAGCCCTAGGAAATGGTTGATGAGTATTTTGTATCGGCGAGGAGGGGAGAAAGGATCCTTGGCCTTAGCCTCATGTTCATCATACTCAACCACGGTACACAGCCATCAGGAAATTGATTAAATACATTTGTCAAAGAGGTGTGTCTACTGTGAACAGAGACTATAAGGGATTTCTGTATTGTGTTTTACTCTAGGTGAGACAAGGCCAATATAACTGGCTACCACCTGGGGTGACAGGACAGTGGGTGAGGCATAGAAGGAGGTGGGCATTTGTTTTGAGAGGGCTGCTTTAAATCTTAGGAGTCTTTTTTTTAGTAAAACTATGAAACTTAGAAGAAAACACAGGGTAAATCTTCCTGATACTGGATTTGGTAGTGATTCTTGGAAATGATACCAAAACACAGGCAACAAAAGAAAAACTAACCTGGATTTCATGGAAACCAACAACTTTTATTATGCATCAAAGGACATTGTTGACAGAATGAAAAACTAATCTATAGAACAGAAGAATATATTTGCAAAGTATGTATTTGAAAAGGAGTTAATGCCTAGAATATATAAAGAACTATAACATAACAACAAATCATCTAATTTCAAAAAGGTGACAGAGGTCTTAAAAAAGCTATATGTCTGAAAATATACAAATGGCCAATAACTACATGAAAATCTGCTAAATATCACCAATCATTAGGGAAATAAAGTACACTGAGCATTTTAAAACAACAATGAAATACCACCTCACATCCACTAGGATGGCTACTATTTAGGGAAATGTTGGGTATAGGGAGGGTGATAAGCACTGGCAAGGATGTGAATAAACTGAAACCAATAAACCCTGGTGGGAAAGTAAAATAGCACTTTAAGGAGGAAGGAAATTAATCTTGAGGATGTTAAGCTAAATGAAATAAGGTAGTCACAAAAAGACAAATAATATATGATTCCACATATGTGAGGTACCTAAATTTGGCATTCTTCACAATTTGGCAGTTCCCTAAAAGTTAAACGTAGAATGATCATATGATCCAGAAATTCCACTTGTGGGTATGTATCCAAAATAATAGAAAGTGGGGACTAAAAAAGATATGTGTACACCTATGTCCCTTCACAAAAGCCAAGAGGGGAAAACAACCTAGATGTCCATCAATTGAAGAATGGATAAATGAAGTATGGTACATACACACAAGGATTATAAATTCAGCTTTAAAGAGGAAGGAAATCCTGACACATGCTACATCATGGATGGAACCTTTAGGATGTTATGCTAAGTGAAATAAGGTAGTCACAAAAAGACAAGGAACGTACAATGCCACATATGTGAAGTACCTATATTTGGCAAATTCAGAGCAGAAAGGACAGAGGTTAGAAGAGGCTGAAGGGGGCAAAGGGGGAAAAGGTTGTTGTTATTTCATGGGTGAAATTTCTGTCTGGGGGAATGTTGAAAATATTTGGAAATAGAGAGTGGAGATGGACACACAATATTGTGAATATACTTAATGGCACTAAATTGTATACTTCAAAATGGTTAAAATGGTAAATTTTATGTTACATATATTTTACCACAATTCAAAAAGAATCTGGGTTATTATGCAGTCAAATTAGTGAGTTTCAGCATTCAATAAATATGAAGAAAAGGCCAAACTGCAAGTGTATTATTCTTAGAGTGAAACTAAGCCTTAATTTAAGGTTTTCCTAGACTACACTTGGGCTCTATCATGGACTGGAAGGCATATGAAAACTTCCTAAATTGTGCATCAGTGGCTAAATCCACTGAAGATTTCAGATGCTCAATTCAACCCCTAACTAATAATTTTTGTCAGAAACAAATGGTTGTCATTTCTAAAATTATTTAGTATTAAATGATCAGTTGGCAGATTTAATGATTTCAAATGAGTATTAAGAATACACACAACTAGCCTAACCACCTAGCTGATAATTTGCAAATAGCAGTGTTAACATCCAAATAAACACACTGATTTCATTAGCTTTAAGTTACAAAGTTCTGCTTGTTCTTTGCAAAGTAGGCACAAATGGTGGCGAGACGTGATTTGCCTTGGGCTCTTACTGCTTCTCACTGTGTAGTTCTGGCCTGGGAATAACAAGATGCCATACCAACAATGGATTAAAAATTTCAGATACACAAAAATGTGGGACTCAGGTCTAATTTTGTGGCTTTACTTTACCCTGCTTCAAATAAAAAATGAAAAGGACTGGGGAGGTAGCTCAGTGGTAGAGTGCTTGCCTAGCATGTACAAGGCCTTGGGTCCAATCCCCAGTACTGGAAAAAAGAAAAAGAAAAAAGAAAATAATTTTTTTTTTTTAAAGAGAGAGAGAGAGAGAGAGAGAGAGAGAGAGAGAGAGAGAGAGAATTTTAATATTTATTTTTTAGTTTTTGGCGGACACAACATCTTTGTTTGTATGTGGTGCTGAGGATCGAACCTGGGCCGCACGCATGCCAGGTGAGCGCGCTACCGATTGAGCCACATCCCCAGCCCAAGATAATAATTTTAAAAGACAATATTACTTTAAAATACCCTCAGTATATAGAACTGCAATTTCCATCCTACTCAGAATAGTAAGAGATCAAACACCAACCAAGGATCCATGGATGAATCAGAAAAGTCTGGTGCTCTGTGAAAAGCAGGTGTAAGTTCCTTTCTGCTTACCTTTAGCTGGGTTTCTGTGGGAGTAGGAGCCAAAAATGGCGGCTGTCCCACCAGCATCTCAAAGAGAATCACACCAACACTCCACCAGTCACAGAGCTGAGTGTACCCTGAAAGACAAAAGTCACTCACTCAATTCCTGCACTGGCAGATTCTTCTCAAAGGTAAGTTCTATAAGATCCTGCACATACAGATTTCCTGTGAAGAGAGAAAACAAGCTAACGTAGTATTGTAATAGAAGAAGAAGAGACACACCTACATAAATGCCTGGTCTTGCACAGGAGGACTGAGAATGGTGGGCTGGAAGGGGTTGGGATCAGGGTGCTATAGTCATCATGGGGGGAGGCCACAGTCACTTATTTTCAATTATTAGCCTTTAATAAATACAGAATACTTTTATAGTAAGAAAAGACTTTACTTAAAAAGATTATTGGTATTATTAGCAATAATACAAGATGTTAATCAGAATTTTAAATTCTTGCCAGGTGCAGTGGCACACACCTATAATCCTGGCTACTCAGAAAGCTGAGGCAGGAAGATCCAAAGTTCTAGGTCAGCCTCAGCAACTTTATGAGACCCTATCTCAAAATAAAAAGGGCTGGAGATGTAGCTCAGTGGCAAAGCACCCCTGAGTTCAATCCCCAGTTTTTTTTTTTTTTTTTTAAAGGAATTTTAAGCTCTTAAAGATCACATAAAATAAACACTCACAAAACAAAGTGCCATGACTGGGATATGGGCAGGTAAGGACACGGAGAGGGTTTCCTGGGGAGGCTTCCAAGTCAGTTTTGGAACAAGGTGAACAACGTAAAGATGAGGAGGATGAGAGTAGGCTATTTTGGCAAAGGGGACAATTGGAAAGTATTCACTATAATCCATATAATTTACTATGAGACCCTGTTGGAGCCAGGCATTTCTCGCAGAGTCCCCATCTGGGGTAATCAAGGACAGCCTCAAGGATTCTGTGAAGTGAGTTTATTTATCTTTGATTTTCTCCCACTTTTCTTTCAGAGCCCCAGGTTCCTGTTGAGAGCCACAGCCGAAGGGGCCCCAGCAAACTTCCAGCTGCCAGCTGATGATTGGCTCACAGCGGCCCCAGCAACATCTAGCTGATTGGCTCCTCGGCCCCAGCAACATCTAGCTGATTGGCTCCTCTACGGTGATGCTCATTGGACTGTTTCCCTGCCCTTTCAGACCACGGAGCTGCTCATTGGGGGACTTTTTTGGCTCCGCCCACGTGACCCAGCCAATCGGCCTCAAGAGCAGGAGGATTGTGGGAGGTGGAGAGAAGCTTGTGTGAGAGAGAGAGGCTTGTGGAAAGCCGGTGGTGGCAGTTGAGGCTCTGAGGGTTTTTCCTGAGAGGCTGTTTTGTTTGGCGTGTGTGGTTCTAAAAATAAAGTTAGTTTCTTTTGACAAGTGGCTCCTGATTGTGCCTAGCCAGACTGCGGCAGGTTCCAATCAAGCCAGGATAGGCTTCATGTCACCTAATCCTTCCTAAATGGGAAACACATGTGAGGTCAGCAGGACCCCTGCGCATTCCCACCATCTCATCTCGTCCTGCCCCAGGTGGCACTGGAGGCTACAGAATAACCCTGACCACTGGCTCCTCTGGAATGGTTCACATGGCAGGAGACCTGAGGCCTTTTCTGGGCACCAGGATTAATATTCACATGCTTTTGAGGAGTTAACTGCCACATTCGTAATGCTGAGTGGTACAGTAATCTGCCTTGGATTACCACAGCCAACAAAGAAACTTCGACTTGAACTGGTTTTGCTGGCTGCAAACACTTCAAACAAAATGTGTGTGAAGGAAAAGGCAGCCTAAGTCTAGATTTATTATACGGAATCAGATCATCAGCATAATGTCATTACAGGTTATGCAGGATCACTGAAGGATCCTCCTGGTCTGAACCAGATATTGTATTTGAAGGAATGAAACCTCCATCTAGGAGACAAATTTTATGAGTACTGGTGATTTTATGCCCACTATTGTCTGCAAATCTTATCTCCTATGAGGTTTTGGGCTGGCAGGGAGATTAGGTGGAAAACAATATTTGTGTGTTGAATATGGTATAACTTGGTTGAGAACTTGGGCAAGGGAGAGTTAAAAGAGAGCCTACAAATGATGGTTTAGGCAGACTGAGTAGTGTCCTGTGGCCCCAGAGTTGTTTCCATCATTTGACTCTGTAGAAACCAATTCTAAAGCCATTCCCTGGGTCCTAGGTAGAAAGCCTACACCCCACACATCCCAGCTGGAGGAAAAGGCAAGCAGACATTGGCCTAATGGTGTGTGGAGCAAGGGTATTTTCAGAACAGAGATGAGAAGCAGGAGGCTTGTTTATTAGGGATAGTTTAGTCTTGGAAAGCTAGAGCTGGAGAGAATTCTTAGAGGTCACCTGGCTCCATAGAGATGCAGGTAAGGATGGCCTTCAGCCAGAAGCTGGCTGTGGGGTGGGAGGAAGTAGCCCAATGGCATACCTTTGCGCAAGAGCACCTCTGGTGCGATGTAATTTGGGGTTCCAACCAGGGAGTGTGCCAGGCACCTCTGGTGCTGCTTCCGTGCTCTCTGCTCCAGGGTCTTCAGTCTGTCCCCACATCGACAGTTAGACACATCATCCCAGAGGTCACTGGGCTCCATGCTATCCTGTCTGATGTGGTTCCCTTTGCCCAGGAATCATGGGTAGTAAGAGAAAAGAACAAAAAATAAAATGAATGTTCACTACTGAACAATGAAACGAAATCCATAGCTTAGCCGAAAAGTAATTCCAATCAGCTGCTGACATGTTAGGACAAAGGATCCTCTCCAACTGCTCCACAGGGACAACTGTTGTTCCAGGGCTCTGAGAAACAAGTTGTAAGGTAACATCAATGCCAAGGCAGAAATGATGGCTGGAGCACTAACAGCCAACTACACTGTGCTGAGCTGGCAATGAGACAATGTGAATAAGAATACAGGCTGGAAGAACTTTGGGGCATCAATTTCAGGTTAATATCAAAAGGCTAACACCTGCTGGGCGCAGTGGCACACACCTATAATCCCAGCCACTGAGACGGCCGAGGCGGAGGATTGCCAGTTCAAAGCTAGCCTCAGTAAAAGCAAGGAGCTAAGCAAGTCAGTGAGACCCTGTCTCTAAATAAAATACAAAATAGAGCTGGGGATGCGGCTCAGTTTTGAGTGCCCTTGAGTTCAATCCCTAGTCGCCCCCCCCCCCCGCCCCACGCCAAAAGCTAACACCTGTCTAGCAAGACATTTTGTGATAAGCATGGAAAAATTAAAGAGAATTTAAAAAGTATGAACAAAAGTAACAAATTCCAGAAAAAGTGAACGAGTCAGGTTCATTTTGAGTTTTTAAAGTCTGAGTTATGGGATGAAAACAGCTATTTCAAGCATCCCAGCCATTAGAAAGAGAGTGACCAACTGTTTTTGACTTTTCCAAATAGCAAACCTAGAAATGGAGTTGAACTATATATTAGATCCAGGTTAGCTATGAAAGAGCTAGCCTTGGGAGGCTGTGAGACTTTTATTTTGAGGTGGGATGTTGTTATATTACCTAGACAGGCGGCCAACTCTTGGGTTCAAGCAATCGTCCTGGCCTAGCCTCCTGAGTAGCTGGGACTACAAACACGTACCACTGTATCCAGCTCTAAAACTTTCACTTTTTAAGGCTTGTTTAAATAGGCAGAGGGATGGTTCTTCACAAAAGCCCCATGACAACATATCTACAATGTAGTAAAACTTAAATCCACTAACAACAAATTTTGTCCCATCAGCCCAGATATGGAACACCTATATAAACTTAAATATAGTATATAATATATAAAATATATAGAAACTTAATTGATATAATATTAATATAATAACAATATATGCTCTAGAGTATGATTTCCAATTTACTTTAATGTACTTGTGTCAATTTTTTTGAAGTATTTATAGTTGAAATGTGGGACTTAATGGGTTAAGAAAAAAATCTCACACATATCAGATCCTTCCTTTAGGGAGGGAAGGCTATCACACCAAGTTATACAATAATAATAATTTGTTATACAATAATGGATAATTTCAAAGTGATTAGGAGCCACTGGGATGGGAAGATACATCAAGATGTAGAAACTGGACAGAGCACGCCTAAGATAATACCTTTCTGGTAGTATTTGGAATTGTGAGTCCACCTGAATCCAGTGCAGAGGCCAAAATCTGTCAGTTTGATGTGACCATCCAGATCTATCAAAATGTTGTCAGGCTTAATGTCTCGGTGGATGAAGCCCATCTTGTGGACACTCTCGATGGCCAAAGTCAACTCTGCAATGTAGAACCGGGCCAGGTGCTCAGGGAAGACCTCCATACGGATCAGCAGGCTCATCATGTCCCCTCCAGGGATGTAGTCCATCACAAAGTACAGGCTGTCTTTGTCTTGGAAGGAGTAGTAGAGTTTGACCACCCACTCATTGTCTGCCTCAGCCAGGATGTCCCTCTCGGCCTTGACATGGGCCACCTGATTCCGGTTCAGGACGTCTTTCTTCCTCAGGGTCTTCATGGCATACAGGGCATGAGTGTCCACCTTACAAGCAAGGCATACTTCTCCAAAGGCACCGATCCCCAGGGTTTTGATTTTCACAAACATGGATTTGTCCATCTTGGCCCTCTTTAGTCTGTTATAATTTGACTCCTTCTGGTAAAGGATCTTCCTCATCTGTTCCTGCTCAGCTTCACAGAGTCCAGCCTGCACACAAGGAAAATGAGAAGAAGTCACCTTAGAGGGATTCTATAGTAGCAAGTGATGGGAGCAAGGGAGGCCCTGGAATTGAGTGGGCTCTACAGAAAGGAAAAAACAGAAGAATGGGTCTAATCTACTACAAGCAAAATAATCATCAGTTTGTTCCTTATGTTCAAATGTAGATACGAACCTGGAATCCAGAGTATGACAGAACAGAGTTCTTTCTTTAGGTGACTTTAGGCTCTAAAAACTAAGGAAAACCTCTATTAATGAAAGTTGGTGGGAAAAGGGACCACAACATTCCAGGAACTCCAAGAACAATCTAATACTTAGCTCAGAAGAGATGGGAAAACAAAAACAAGTCAAATACATTTGATTTTTAGAATTTGGTGTGATTTAAATTTAGTGTTACACTTTAATTTGAATAACTTTATTAAAAATCATCTTTTCTAGCACTTGAGTGTCAATTAAAGTATGTTTAAAATATTCTTTATTAGTTAAAAACTTAAAGGATGGCCAACTGGATTATTACTAGATATATTTTTATTTATGAATCCTAATTTTAATTTTTAGAACTTCAGACTTTATTTCTACTCTTCTAAAATGTTACATTAATAAATAAGCCTTGATGAAATTTGTGTAAAGACACACCATAAAAATCAATTTGCTAATTTGCCTTTTAGCAACATTATGGACAGCTATCACAGTCTCCTGAAGTCAGAGGGAAGAGGAAATAGAGAAAGGGAAGTATTCACATTTGTGAGTATTCTAAACTGCTGGTCCCATAACCAGATTATGACCTGTGATACAGGGTTTACGATAAAGCTATATAAATTAGGAATAGTACTTCTCTGTTGTGATTCCTATTACCAGTAGAGAGGAGCCAGGGGCAAACAGTGAGAATAAAATGAGAAATTACTTTGGCCATTTCTTGTTCAAGCTGCAACCTCCTGTTGACCTTCTGCTGGTAGGTTTTTATGACATTTTCCACGTGTTGTTCCATGAAGAACTTAAAGGCATAGGGGGAGTAGCTCTTGATGCGGGATTCCCTCTTCTCTTCATCTCTGCTATTTTTGCGGACTGGTACTGGAGAAGTCTGGATCTGCTTTTTATCCTTGCCACCTTTGTCCCCCTTGACACTTTTGTGGCTCTTGTCGCTCCTCTCCGTAGGCTCTGCAGTTGGGCCCGCACGGAGGCTCTGCTCCACACCGGCACATAGGCTGTCCAGGTCGTATTGCTCGGACTTGCTGTGCAGCAGCAGGTGTTTGGGGTAGGGTGGAGGTGGGCATCTGCGGTCTGGGCCACTGTACTCCACATCCAGTGGGTAGACAGCAGTGGCTCCCAGGCCCAGGGCGTGCTCATCCTTCGAGTCCAGGCCTTCAGCGGCTGGGGCAGGTGCGGGCACCCAGGCAGGGTGGGAGGGCCCCACGGCTGTCTGTGGTTCAGGTCTCAGTACCCGCACGCTCTTAACTGGGTGCAAGATGTGCGCGGCAGTCACGGCTGTGACAGTGTTTGGGGCAGGCAGGGAAGGCTCGGCCTGGCCTGGTGCACCAGCTCGCGGCTGCTGACTGTTGAAGGAGTTGGTCCTGCTGGGTCCTGGGCCGTCAGGCCGGAAGGCCACGTGCTGGCGTGGAGCCTCCAGGCCTGGCTTCTGTAACGAGTCGCGGCGGGCCAGTGTAGTTGCTGGCCACTGTTGCACAGGGGGACCGCCCAGCTCATACAGATCCACATTGAGGCTGTTTCTTGAGGGGACCAGCAAGCTTTGTGGTGGGCTGTCGCCAGTGAACACCTGGCCCCGGGAACCCATCACATGCAGCTGGTGGGCTGCGGGGCCAGCCTGCTTATGGTGCGCATGCGGGCCATACAGTCCGGCAGTGGGCGTGGGGAAGGCGATGCCCGCGCCTGGTGGGGCCCCCTGGCCCTTGGCAGTCAGGCCGGCATAGCCCCCCGACTCGGGCGGCGTCTTGTTCTGGAAGGAGGGGCTGCGCTGCACACCGTAGCCCAGAGGCTCCCCGGGTACTAGGAGGTGCGTGCGGCCATAGTGTGCACCTGGAAGTGGCAGGGACGGACCGGTGGGGCAGGTGGCCGGGAAATGTGCTCCCGCTGCCTCCATGCTGGCACCATAGGCTTTGGGGGGGTGCTGGTGGCCAGGCAGGCTGTGGGGACCAACTCCTGGGAAGAGGAAGTCCATATACTGCCGTGGCACCTCCTCCAGTCCCGCGGGGCCATCTGTGCCAAAGCCTGGGCCCTCGTAGGCTGCACCTCCCAGCTGGTGGTAGGATGAGAACGCTTCACCTGTGCCTTCGAAGCTGGGCCTCCTTGTTACCGGGGTGGACACAATGCCCTTTCCTGCAGTGGAAAGAATGGGAAGGTAGCATGAGGAGTGTGGTCAGCCAGTTCTGGCACTTTCAGATTGATCCCTACACTGGCAATGTCCTAGAGGCTGAGTGGCTGCACAAGGTCTTCAACTGAGGACTCCCCTTAATATAGCATGAGGGTGTGGGGAACTTCAGGAGTTCAGAAGAGGGTTACTGGCCATAGGAAGGACAGTTTCCCAGTCCTGCTGGGGAGTATCCCTCACACCTTGGAGGACATAGCACCCAAGATCACCATCCTGCCATGCTAGGGAACCAACTGAACAGCCAGCTCTGTTTTCTCCATGATATGCCCAGGTTGTTTGGGACAGCAAGTTTACTGCCACATGATTCCCAGTCTCCTTTTCTCTAACAGTAGAATCATAGCCATTGTCCAAATGTCTACTTTATTTTCATCTATTTTTCAAATTAAAGATTTTCTGGGATTTTTGTTTTTATTAAAACCAAACAAAACAACATATATGCAACAACAATAAAAACCACACAGAATCCCCCTACAAATACCCAGATGGATTTCTGCTGTTGCTTCCTTATTCCTGATTTTTCCATTCTGAAAATCTCTCCTCATTTAAAACAGACGCTTGGAAGGAAGGACAAAGGCTCCTTTCAGTTTCGTACAATGACTGCTTGATTTGGCAGAGGGTGCTATAGTCCAAAGGCTGTGTCCCCTTCACCCTCCCTGGACTACCTGGCAGGGTGAAGGCCTCAGTAGCCTGGGCATTGAGTAGAAGTCAGAGCCCAGTGATGATGGCTCTGTGTTGCCAGGGCTAAAAAGATGCATCAGTGAGCACACCACACCAAAGGCAATTAGGAAGGAAATCATAATGGGGCGGTTGTGTGTGTGTGTGTGTGTGTGTGTGTGTTTCCCTTTGGTATCATGCTTAAGGTCACAGAACAAGAATCATGACATAGATGGCCAGCTGGAGGCTAAGGAAATTCCTTCTCTCAAGAAGAAAACAGAAATGTATGTTCTCCTTAACAACAGAGACAGAACTTACAAAACCTGTAAGATTTTCTCATTCATTCCATAAAGTGAGCTTCACACCAGGTCTTCCACAGATAGGGAAAATTCCTTTTGGAAATTATCATGAATCCTTTATTATACCCCAGGGACTTCAAATACCAAAAATAGGGTTCATCTATTCCATCCTCAGAGAGGAACATCCCTTGATAGTCACTGAAACAGAGCAGATGCCTTCAGCTGTTCCCAGGGGACACTAGGGGGAAGCCCAGCATACTGCTCACAGCTCTGGCCCGGAGAGGTGCCCTCCACTGGACAGCTGCTTTCAAAGGCTATGATGTGAGAAAAGGTTTTTTTTTTTTTTTTTTTTGGATAAGCCTCCCTTTTCAAAGACTTCTCCAGGCCCAATAGCAAGTAAAAACAACATTTTTACTCACTTTAATTTTTCAATCTTTCATAAAACAAAACAAGCAAACTCTCCAGATTGGGAGCACCACAGGTTATTTCAGATTGGGGTGGGGTGAGCACCCAGGAAAGTCCCATGATCTACTACTTGTGGTAGGTCCCTCCAGGTCCTTACTGCTGGGGCAGAGCAGGCTCAGCTTACCTGTTAAATGCATAAGACAATGTGCTAAGAGACTATCTATTGACCAAGGGCAGGCTGGACATTTTCCTGCTAACTGTTCTGTGTTTTCAAATCACAAATCTTCTTCATACACCACGCTACTGGTTTGGGCTCACCTGGGGAGGTCTGCTTAATGACGCGTACGATCTGCTCATTCCTGGGGTCCAGGTAACCCATTTTACTGATGTACTCTAGGGCGGCTTCAATACTCCTGCTGCCGGTCTGCTTGAGTGCTCTGCCTGCCATCTCCTGGGAGGGAAGCATGAAGATGTAAGAGTGTGTCATTATCATTATAAAACAAAACCACAGGTGACTTCTCTCCTTACTCTGTGCCTGACTGTGCTGTGATACTTTGCCTCTCTGTGACTGCTAGAGCCTTCGAGGTGCTACAGATGACTCAGAATGTGCATGTCCTACAGATGCCAAAAGTCAAGCTCATATCACACCCCAGACGATGTAACCTATTATCAAGAACAAATGTGGATTTGAAAGAAACTTAAGTTCTTCTCTTTAGTGCTCTACCACCGAGCTATAACCCCAGCCCCCTATGAAATGTTGATCTTAAAAAATGTTTTTTATTAGAGCATTATAATTATACATATTAATGGGATTCATTTTGACATTTTCATAAATACATATAACTTGCTCCATTTCAATCCCTAGTACTTTTCCTTTCCTTTCCTTCCTCCCTCCTACTGAATCCCTTCCTCTCCTCTACTGGTCTTCCTTCTATTTATTTATTTATTGTTTTTTTAATTGGTGCATTATAGTTATATATAAAAGTGGAATTCACTACAATATATTCATACATGCACATAGCATAATTTGGTCCATCTCATGCCTGTCTTTTCCATCTTCCCCTCCCATTCCCTTCCTTTACTCCACTGTTCTCCCTTATATTTCCATGAGAATGAAATGCTTATTAAATGCCTACTGTTTACAATGACCATTGTTGGCTATAGCAGTAAAGATTTACCCTTAGTGATATGACTAGAAAGAAAAAAGAAGTAGGAGCCCTGGAGCCTAGTAGGTACAGGACAGGTTTCTTAAAGTTGTTTGTGGGATAAACAGAAGACAGAAACTGGTGCTCACTGCAGGAGAGGTACAGGTGGGGTGAAAGAGGGTCAGAGGAGAGGGCTCCTTTCCACCCAAGAGAGGGGGTCGGACAGCTGCCTTTTCAAAGACTCATGGTCTTTGGGCAGGTGAAAAGTTCAGGTAGAGGATAGGTATTCTTAGCAGAGGGACTGGTCAGAGCAGAGGAGGCAGGAGGAGTGGGCTGAATGGCAGCAGCACTCAGAGACATGAGACAGGGGACACAGAGCCACAGACCAAGGTCAGACTACCCTGGGTTTTTCCCCGTTTGCAAAATCATAGGAGATTTCAAACAGAGACATGTGCAGTATGATCTGAGGACAGCTGCAGGGTGCCCAGAGCTCGAGGCAATCTGAGGCAGGGAGGTGAAAGGGGCAGGAGGGGACTAAGAAACATGGCTGCAGGGTGACAAGGAGGGCAAGGAGAGGGAAAGAACCCATGGAGGGTCACTTCTGCACTAGGATGAAGCAGGCAGAGGCTACAAAAGAGGCTTCTATAGATGGAAATGCTGAGCAATGTGAGGGCAAGGAGGAGGAGACTGAAAAGACCCTGTCATTCAGGAGGGAATAAAGAGGACACAGGACAATGATTTCAGTGGAGGCTGCACAGGGCCACTTGGTGGCAGCCAGTCACCGTGGGAGTACAGAACCACTTTGTGGAGAGACAGCACTGTCCCCACTGCCCCTGGATAGGCCTGTGGTACTTCTGACTTTTATCCCACTCAGCTGTCTGACTGCTCCATTAGGACCAGGAGAAACTGCCAGGCTCTTAAATACCATATTACTCATGGTTATATCCACCTACCTCACACAGTACCCAGAACAAATTAAGTGTTTAATATCCAATGATCATCTAACATTAAACCAAGTTTTCTCTTCCTGGTAGTATCCTAGCTGAGTGGTAGGACAAAAACATTGAATGGACTTGGCTACAGAGTCAATAATGTGGGTGTGGGGTCCTGCAAGGTGGCAGAGCAAGAGAGGGGATCAGGGAAGAGTGAGATGGGAGGCCTGAGGAGGTGCCACCAACATACAGGTGGCATCAGAGGGAAGAAACAGAAGTGACAGCTTAAGAGGCAGATTGGGAAGTGGTAATAAGAATAGGGCTGTTCTGTAAGGCAGCACTTGGGCTGACAGGAAGGGCACATTGTATACCATCTGGAAGAGCCACGGGGAGAAAGCACCAGAGTTCTGGCCTGAAGTACTCCTTCTTCACCCAGAGACAGGTGATGACACTTCACCTTCCCTACTTCACAGCTGTGCTATTTGATGAGATCATGTCTGCAAGACTCTCAAGGGCTTAGAAGAAAGCATGCTTAAGACCACATCTTAGCAGGATAGCCCTGGAGCGTTTGGTGCCCATTGAAAAACATGCCAGTCAGAGTCAACACTAACCGCAAACCTTTCAATCAGCACTGACCGTTCAGCTTCCTGTGAAACATGACCACTGACCTGTCTCCTTCAGAGGGAACTGCCAGCCCATGCTCATTACTTAAGCACCTGATAACAGTCAAGGAGGTGACAACTTCATGAAAGGCCACGACACTTACATACAATTCAAAACTCTCCCACTACTTTAAGATCTGTGCTTCAAATCTAGGAACTTAACCAAGATAAAACAGGAGGAGACCACAAGTGAAGACTTGTGCTCATAGGGGTGTTTCAAGTTGTAAAACAACCACATTCATGAGCCAGCTTGTTTATAAATAAAAACTTCAATAGTCTAAGTCAGTCGAGGCTTGCTTTTGTTATCTGTGCATAACCCTTCATGGAGCAAATATGTAGTTTCTTTTTTTAAAAAACATTTAAAATGTAGATGGACACAACACAATGCCTTTATTTTTATGTGGTGCTGAGGATCGAACCCGGGTCCCGCCCATGCTAGGCGAGCGCTCTACCGCTGAGCCACAATCCCAGCCCCAAATATGTAGTTTCTATACATTACCTCTCAGAAGATGCTACTACACATATCTATAAAGCTATTGTGTTCTGTTTTTTGTGGTGACAGTGATTGAATTCTGGGCCTTGCATATGCTAGTGGAGCAATCTACTATGAGCTACGCTCCCTCCCTCTATAACATCTATGTTTTAAGAGCTGAAGGAAATCCAGAATACATTTCAAATCCATCAGGAACACAAGTCTTAGGTTGACAGAGAGTATGGGCAGAGGCACAGCAGGGAGCAGCAGGGCTCTCCTGAGGAGGCGGCATAACAGAGAGGTGAGCCTGAAGTCCAGCTGAGGAGCCTGGCCTTTCACCTTCCTTTCTCAACAATGTTTGGAGATCACTGTTGAGAGTCCTGATCTAAAATTGTACGAAGCCATTCGGAAAATAGCAGAATAGTGCTGAGCCTAGATAGACACCAGACACCCGATTTCATGTATCCCCTCTGCTGTCTAGCAGCTGTTCAGTCTTTAGCAAACTCTTTACTTACTTTGAGCTTCTATTCCTCATCTGTGAAATGAGGTTAACCGAGTTGCTGTAGGGATTAAAGGGGATAAAGGCACATTTAAACACTATTTCAGGGTTAGCTGTTGTAGTTCACAGAAGGATCTTAGGTGCCTCTGGCAAAAAATGAAGAGCTGGCCCAAAGACACTCTAATTCCAGCAACCTGGCAAGCTGAGGCAGGAAGATGGCAAGTTCGAGTCCAGCCTTAGCAATTTAGTAAGACCCTAACTCAAGATAAAAAATAAGAGCTGGGGTGACTGTAAGAGGGTAAGTTCCCCCCACTGCTAGGATGCCCAAGAGGAAGGTCACCTGGGCCAAAGGAGATGTGAAGGAGGAGGTGAGCTCTGCTTCTCTCTGGGAGGTAGGGTGGTGGGTGGATGGTCTATGAACTCCTCTGCCTCAATGACAAGTGCCTTTTCTCTCTCAAAGCCCAAGAAGAGACAGGTGAGGTGTCAGCTAAACCTGTCCCTGCAAAAGTGGAAATGAAACCCCAAAAGGTAGCAGGAAAGGATAAATGTTTGTATGAAAAAGTGCAAACCAAAGCGAAACAGGGAGAAAACGGAAAACAGACTGAAGCAGCTAATAGAGAAACTGAAGATTTACCTGCAGAAAACAGAGAAACTGAAAATCAGGAAAGCCCAGCCTCCAGTGAAGCAGAAAGAAGCAGAAAACACACACACACACACACACACACACACTGTGTCTTATCAGTGGTCTCTGACTCCCTTCTTGTATAATCCAGAGGATATTTTCAAACACAATTGTTTTAGTAGTCTAGAAACAATTTTAGAAAGGAGAAAATCTCACCTCATCCCATTTTTTTAAGAGCAAATGATCTTTTTCTTCTTATTATTATTTTAGAAGTGAAATCATTTGCTGGTTGTTTATTTATTTATTTTTTTGGCACAGCTATTCAATTAGTTTTCTTTAGGAAAAAACAAACATGTGAATGGAAGTAATTTAAATATTCAAGACATTAAATGCGGATCTGTGACTCCAAATTGCCATTTAATATGCTTTGCATTATAGAATATAAAACTACCCCAGCCTACCTATAGATTGTCAAGCTGACAGCCAAGACTATTGAAGCTTCCCATAATTGAATAGCCCATTGAACAGCTTCAATAGTCTTGGCTGTCAGCTTGACAATCTATAGGTAGGCTGGGGTAGTTTTATATTCTATAATGCAAAGCATATTAAATGGCAATTTGGAGTCACAGATCCGCATTTAATGTCTTGAATATTTAAATTACTTCCATTCACATGTTTGTTTTTTCCTAAAGAAAACTACTTGAATTGTTTCCTAAAGAAACCTACTCCTTGATTACTGGCCTATAAGAATTATGTATACTCAGTAACATTATTTGGTCTAAAAGAGAGACTGGGTAGGTTAAAGAGGGTAAGATAAACTGAGGTTTCAAACTTTATTGGTTTTCTGATAACACCAACAGTTTTCATAAACTCCACCTTATGTATGTGAATTTTGTCTTCTGGGAAGGGAGTGGTCCCTGGAGATTGAACCCAGGGCTTCATACATGGTAGGCAAGTGCCCTCCCCTGAGCTATATCCCCAGCCCAGTGAATGGCCCAGGCATGGGGTACATGGCCTGCCAGAATCAAGGGCTGGTGTCTTCATTTAGGGGACTTTACCCAACTCCAGAGCTTTCCATGAGATGGTCCAAGCCTCTGTAGCAGCGTGTCACAATTCAAT